CCCCACCTTGGTCCACTAGGCTGGTGTCTGGTCTCTGAGCCGCAGGTGTGTTTAGGCTCAGTCCCAATTCCAGGGTGAGTCACAGCAGCTGGCTTGTCTGAGGCCACGCGGCCTGCCCAGAGTCAAGTCCTGGTCTCAGCCTGGCCGTGGCCTTTCTGTGGCCTTTCCACGGCTCTGGCCTCATCCCTCACTTCTTTCTTTCTTTCTTTCTTTCTTTCTTTCTTTCTTTCTTTCTTTCTTTCTTTCTTTCTTTCTTTCTTTCCTTCCTTCCTTCCCTCACTTCTTTCTTTCTTTCTTTCCCTCATTTCTTTCTTTCCCTCCTTCCTTTCTTTCTTTCTTTCTTTCTTTCTTTCTTTCTTTCTTTCTTTCTTTCCTTCCTTCCCTCACTTCTTTCTTTCTTTCTTTCTTTCCCTCATTTCTTTCTTTCCCTCCTTTCTTTCTTTCTTTCTTTCTTTCTTTCTTTCTTTCTTTCTTTCTTTCTTTCTTTCTTTCTTTCTTTCCTTCCTTCCTTCCTTCCTTCCTTCCCTCACTTCTTTCCCTCATTTCTTTCTTTTCTTTCTTTCTTTCTTTCTTTCTTTCTTTCTTTCTTTCTTTCTTTCTTTCTTTCTTTCTTTCTTTCTTTCTTTCTTTTTTTCTTTTCTTGAGATATAATCCACATGCCATAAAATGCACCATTGGAAAGTACACAGTTCAGCGGTTCTTAGTGTTTGCAAGGTCATGCAACCACTGCCGCTATCTACTTCCAGAACAGTCTCATCGCAGGAAAAGGAAACCCCGGAACCCGTTGAGCAGCCCCTCCCCCGGCCCTCCCCCAGCCCGAGGCCAGCACTAATCTGCCCCCTCCGCCTCCGTGGATTTGCCTGTCCCAGGCATTTCCTATGAGTGTAGCTATATGAAGTGTAGCCTTGGTGTCTGGCGTTTTTTCACTTAGCATAACATTTTCATGATCCGTCCACGTTGCAGCATGTATTCATCCTTTTTGATAGCCGACTAGTATTTCATTGCGTGGACATAATGCATTTCCTCGCTACTTCCTACTCTGCACGAGGACCCTCAGAGGACATTCACAGTGGTGCATTTCACACCCACCCACGGGCTAAACACCCCATCTCTCCGGCCAGCCGGAACCCCCCCTAACGTGGTGCTAGTCCCTTCACACTCCTGAGCCCTTTGAACACTCCAGAAGCAATTCTGTGCCCTTTATTTATTTAAAAATTAAAAATACAATTCACCCTAAAGCCCCCGCGGCGCCAATTTTACATTTATGAGGGCGAATCGAGCAACCAAGCCGGTTTCCCAGAAGCTCGGGCTTTTGTCAAATGTGATAGACGGTGATTGAAGCGTACCCCGTGTTTATTGATTCTTTGCGGCCGACAGCAGCGCAGTTCTCGATTTATGATGAAAGGGGTGGAGGCAGAGAGAACGGAGTGGAGGCAGAGCAGAAACATTTGACGTACACAAAAAGCTCCCAGGTGCAAGTCGTGTTCTGCGAGGCCCTCAGGTGACGGCGTTGGTGAGCTTTCTCTGCTACCTGCTGGTAGCCGGCCAGGAATCGTACACCTCTGCACACCTTCAGCAACAGGGCTGCCTTCTGTGATGCTTGACTGGTTGTGGCCAGCGTGGCGCGACGAGGAAGCAGCCAGCAGTGTAACTGTCCCCAGAGCGGCCCCTAAGCCACCGGGTAAAGGGAGGCGGGCATCTGCTCCCAGCCAGGCCACGCACAAGACATGTTCTTCTAGTTCCAGGCTGGGGTCTGGGTAGGGTTTCCAGAAAAGCAATACTGATTTTTTTATGTGCTGAAATATGCAAAGGCACACCCTGCGGATGGGCCAAAAACGTATTTGGGGCCGGGCGCAGTGGCTCATGTCTGTAATCCTAGCACTCTGGGAGGCGAGGTGGGAGGATCTTTTGAGCTCAGGAGTTCGAGACCAGCCTGAGCTAGAGCGAGACCCCGTCTCTACTGTAAATAGAAAGAAATTAGCCAAACAACTAAAATAGAAAAAATTAGCCAGGCAGGTAGTGCATGCCGTAGTCCCAAGCTACTCGGGCGAGGCTACAGGAGGATCGATTGAGGCCCAGGAGTTTGAGGTTGCTGTGAGCTAGGCTGATGCCACGGCACTCTAGCCCAGGCAACAGAGTGAGACTCTGTCTCAAAAAAAAAAAAGCGTATTTGGGAGGTGCAACCAGACACATAGAATTCTGTGCCCTCTATGTCAAAATACACACACACAGGCACATGCACATGTGTGTACATACACACATGCACACACACACCTGCATGTACACGTGTGTATATACACACACGTGTACTAACATACCGCGTGTTACAACTACTCACATGCACACACATTTTTATTTTAACGCTCTGCCTTCACCACCCCCTGCATCTTGGACTTGGACTTCCCAGCCTCCAGAACCGTGAAAAATGAATTCCTGCTGTTTGGAAGCTCCCCGGTTTGTGACATTTTGTTGTAGCAACCTGAATGGACTAAGACAGATGTCTAGGACTTGACAGTCGGGACGACAGTTAGAGATAAGGTAGCCCAAACGTTCATTTGTAAAATGAGGAAATGAAGATTCCAAGAGGTGGAATCAGGGTGGTACCAAACATTAATGGCAAAGCGCCAAGTAGAACTAAGTAGAACTCGGGATTCCGGAGTTCCAGCGCCCAGCAAGCAACTTACCCCGGAGTTATTTGTCAAGAGAGTTATCTTTAAATACAGAGAACTTCTTTCGTGAGGCATAGGCAGTTTGTCCTGGTGGTCAAGGTTTCCTTTTATCATTTGTTATTTCTGTGTCTGTTAATTCTCTGCTCCTGAAATTAATATTCATCAGTGAAAAATACCTAATGTCCGGCCAGTCTTGATTTCAGAGAAATGCAATTTAGGCGTTGGGAGTGTGTGTGTGTGTGTGTGTGTGTGTGTGTGTGTGTGTGTGTAAGACTGCAACAACCATTAGAAAGCGAATCACAATTAATCCAGGAGGAGTGTGCTGCCTTAATGAAGCCATTAGCCAAAGCCCATTCCGAGAGAGAGAATGTGAAGACGGAACCGCGAGCACATTACCTGTAATGAACCTGCGCATGGACTTGGGGAATTTCTGCGGTATTCTTAGCATGCGTAATGGCCGCTGAGCACGCTGCCCGGGTTGCAGCCCAGCCTCAGGAACCCGGAGACGCGGCCGAGGGTTGTTTAACTGCTGGCCGGCCGACGTGCGAGCATCAGAGAGAAGCCGAGACTCTGCTTGTGGCTCATAACTCTTTCAACTGTGCTCTTGTTTAATGCAGAAGGTCATGTTGGTGTCAATTGCTTCCCCGGAGAAAGCACAGAGGAAATCTCTTGCCCGCTTCAAACTGGAGCAGCGGTTCCGGAGAGAGGCTTCGGGAGACATTGGCCCGAAGGTGAAAGGTGTCGCCAGGTGCCCCAAAGCCGAACGACCTTTTCCACTCTCATCTGGCTGTGAAGAGTAGGATTGCCAAAGGGCAAGCAAGGGAGTGTCCCGAAAACTCAAAAAGCAGGCATTTTCTTCATCACTTTGCAAATCACGACTCGTGTATGAGAGGCGTGATGAGAATGACTAGCTCTTCGTGAAGTCGGGGTGCACGGGGTATGCCAGAGTCCCGTGGCTGTGATGGAATGCGCCCCCACGGAGCAGCAGGGGACCACGGTTTGCTCTGCCTCAGTCTTCATTTAAAAGGGAAGCCCCAGTGGTCTGGCATCTGTTGCCCAAGCACAGGGATGGTAGGCATTTGGGGATAAAAATGAGCTGACTTGTTGGTTGTGTGGTAGACATCGCTGCTGCTGCTGCTGCTGCTGTTGTAGTTGTTTTTTGCCTGCCAGGAATCTATGCATCCTATCTACTTCCAAGAGCATGATCCCGATCTTTAAAAACTGCCTTTGTCCTGTTGCAATCAGTCGTGGTGGTGCTGTTGGGCCCAGCACCCTGCTCCCCTCTGGATAAGGACCCACGTGAGACCCGTCATCACGCCCTCCCTCCAGGGAGCTTGCATCTTGGGAGGAGCGAGTGGCTCAGGCACAGAAATGGTGGGAGACATGCACACCGCCTCACTCTGGGACCATGCCCCTTAATTCCTGCTGTCCCCGTCCTCGAAGGTGACCTGGGCTTTGCAGAGCCTCATTCAGCTTTTCCTCTGATTCCTGCAGCAACCCGGGATCTAGGCAACGGGTACCTGTGTCCGTTGCCTGACGCCGCTCTAACAAATTAAAGCGAATCCGCCATCCTGTCGTTCTGGAGGGCGGAAGCCGGAAGTGGGTCTTCTGGGGCTACGGTGAAGGTGTCGACAGGGCCTGGAGCTCTGGAAGAAATGTCTGTTCCTTGCCTTTTCCAGCTGCGAGGGGCTGTCCCCATCTCTTTGCTCATGGCCGCGTCACTCTGACCGCTGCCTTGGTTGCCACACCCCCTTCTCCGCCCCTGACCCTGACGGCACCCTCTTATAGGGACTTTAGGGTTACGTTGGTCCCACCTGGATAATATAGGATGATCTCGCCCCAGTCAAGATCCTTAATTGCATCACAGTTGTGAAATCCCCTTTACCGTGTTCGGAAACACAGCCTCGGGTCCTGGCATTTGGAGCACGGGTATCTTTTGCAGGGGGCCGAGCTAGGGCGCCCTTCAACCCACCACGGTCCCATCTTACTCAGGGTGCCCAGGGCTAGTTTCTGTTCCTTGCAGCCAGCACCCAACTAATGTGTTCCTTCTGCCTGGTCTCTGTAAGAGAGGGAAAAACAAATAGGACATTTTTCAATTGTTGTCGGGAACTAGGAAGATGATCGTGCACAAAGCAAAAGCGAACTGCTGAACAGTCTTAGGAAACTGTTCCACAGAGAACGCACCTTTTGCGCAGGTTCCTGAGGTCAGCGCTGCCGAGAGTCTTGTCTAAACGGGGACATCCCGGTGTTTGCCTCGGGAGGCCCCCTCTGCCCGGCACCCAGCAGAACTGAGCGTCCCCGTTGACCCAGGTGCGTCTGGTTCCTTTGCAGGACACGGAAATTCTGAACACCGCCGTCCTCACAGGGAAGACGGTGGCCTTGCCCGTCAAGGTGGTCTCCGTGGAGGAGGACAGCACCGTGACGGACATCTCCGAGTCGGTGGAGTGCAAGTCCGCGGACGAGGATGTCATCAAAGTACGTGAGTCCACGCCCAGGGGGTTCTCTGGGGACTCTTACAGGGAAACAGAAGATGCAACTTAGCAGAGGCTGGTGTGCCACTGCCTCCCAGCTGAGTCGCTCCACTCCCTGCTTCTGTCCTTTTATTTCGGCATCCTGCCAACCGAGCTGGGTTTTGCTTGTTTTTTCTTTTTTTTTTTTTATTTCTTTCCTCATTTGTTTAAAAAATTGACCGGGCGCGGTGGTTCACGACTGTCATCCTAGCACTCTGGGAAGCCGAGGTGGGCAGATCCTTTGAGCTCAGGAGTTCAAGACCAAGCTGAGCAAGAGCGAGACCCCTGTAGCTACTAAAAATAGAAAGAAATTACTTGGACAGCTAAAAATATATAGAAAAATCTAGCTGGCCATGGTGGTACATGCCTGTAGTCCCAGCTACTTGGGAGGCTGAGGCAGCAGGATCGCTTGAGCTCGGGAGTTTGAGGTTGCTGTGAGCTAGGCTGATGCCATGGCACTCTAGCCCAGGCAACAGAGTGAGACTCTGTCTCAAAAAATAAAATAAAATAAAATAAAAATCGTATATATTTATAATGTACAACATACCGTTTTGAGATACATATACATTGTGGAATTGCTAAGTGGAGCTAGTGAACGTATGCATTAGCTCACGTACTTATCGTTTTTGTGGTGAGAATTCTTAAAATCCACTCTCTTAGCAACTTTCCAGAATATAATTTACTGGCATTAACTAATGTCGCCATATTGTACCATAGATCTACGCAACGTGGTCCTCCCATCTAACGGAAACTTCGTACCCTTCAACCAACATCTCCAAAACCTTCCCCCTCCCGGCCACGGGCGACCACCTTTCCACTCTCTGCTTTCATAAGTTCGACTTTATTAGATTCCACATAGAAGTGAAGTCACGCAGTATTTGTCTTTCTGTGCCTGGCTGATTTCACTTAATATATAATGTCCTGTAGGTTCATCTATGTTGTCTTAAATAACACGATTTCCTTATTTTTTAAGGCTGAATGGTCTTCATTGTGTGCATGTACCAGCTTTTCTTTATCCACTCACCCACTGATGGAGGACCATCACTTAGACTTTGCACCTTGGGTCACACCCTGAGTGCCCAGGTAGTAGCTGAGCAGGGGACCTAAGTTAAGTAAGTGAAGTGCTAAAGTGGGCATGTCCCAGTCTAGCAGAGCAGCTGGCATTCTGTTCCTGGCCTTTCCCAGCAAGGAACCTACTGCAACCGACTGTGGTCAGGAGTCATTGTGAGCTCAGTATTGCTCCACCTCCAAAAGAGCTGAAAACCTGGATTTTATGCTCAAGAAAAAAATGATTTTTCAATGTCAGCAACCGATTGTAATTTTTTAATGGGCAAAATATTCAAAATAAATATGCATCTGCGGAGTGGCACATGCCCTGAGGCAGCTGTTCAAGGCCACGTTTCTAGAGCAGAAGTTGGCAAATTACAAACCACAGGCCAGATCTCGTCCGCTGCTGTTTTGTAAATAAAGTTCCATCGGAACACAGCAACCACCCAAGTTTGTTTTCATACTGCCAGTGGCTCCCTCTGTGCTCCGACAGGAGAATTGAGTAGTTGGTAGAAACCATGAGGCTTGGAAAGTCCAATATATTTGCTGTTTTGCCCGTCCTGGAAAAGGGTTGCCCTGAGCAACGCCCGCCCCAGGGTCTTAGGTTTCTGCGGGAAGAACGGTAATCCCTGGTCTTTGCCGCCATTAGAACCCACGATGTTTGCTTAAAGGATAAGACAATGCAAGGACTTTTTCAGGCTCTACATTATGCATCTGGTCTCTGTATTCTTTGTTATCCCTGGAAATACACCTACAAAAAACAAGGACCTAAGAAAAGCATCCAAGTGATCACTCCCCCCCACCCCCAAATAGAATCTGACAGGTAGCGATCAGTCTTTGCTCTGGTATCGAAAGCCCCATGTCTGATTAGAAGAGAACCTTCTACAAACTGTTGCAGTTTCTGAATTCACCCCAAAGTGATATATGGGCTAGTGATGGCCTTGAATCCAGAGTGCTTTGCAGAAAGGCCACCAAGACTGGGAGGAAAAGGGGGTGGGGTTCTAAAGCACACTGCCCAGTGAAAACACAACGTGACCACATATGCAATTTTATAGTCACATTCAAAAAAGCAAAAAAAAAAAAAAGTCAATTTAATTTTAATAACGCATTGTCTTTTACCTATTATATTAAAATATCATCATTTCCACATTATGAATATAACAATGATTAAGGAGATATTTTATTTATTTATTTTCTAATTTCAGCATATTACTGGGGTACAAATGTTTAGATTGTGTATTTTGCCTCTGCCCCGCCCGAGTCAGAGCTTCGAGCGTGTCCATCCCCCAGACGGTGCACACCGCGCCCATTAGGTGCGTTCCATTAGTCTACCTTCTTTTGAAAAGTTTCTGTTCATGTCCTTCCTTTGCCCACTTTTTGGTAGGGCTGTTAGACTTTTTTTTCTTGCTGATTTTCCTGAGTTCTACACAGATTCTAGTTATCAGCCCTTTATTGGAAGCAGATTTTTTCTCCCATCCTGTAGGCTGTCTGTTTGCTCTCGTGGTAGTGACTTTGGCTGTGCAGAAGCTTTTTCCGGTTTCGTCAGTTGACAAACTGTGTCCTGTGGAGCATAGTCTTTTGCAGTCCAGGGTCCAATCCAGGGTCACATGTCACGTGTCATTGTCATGTACTCTAATCCCCTTTAAGCTGAAGCAGTTCTTCCGCGTTTCCTTGTCTGTTAAGACGTGGAACATTTTTGTGGAATGCAGTCCTTGCCTAGCCTTTTTAATAAAATAGTCCTCATTCAGGGTTCTCTGATATTTCCTCACTTTTAGGGTTGGGTTTGCATGCCCGGCAAGGATGACTACGTAAGTGACAACTGTGTGTGTGTGTTTTGTCTAATTCATTGTCCTGAGTTGTTTTTTTTTTTTTTTTATCACCTTGAAATAGTTTTGGAGGTCTTCCTTCTGATTATGTGAGTAGTGTATGCTATTTGTCAAAAAATAAATAAATCAACTGTTTCAGAAAACTCCAAGAAAGAAGGAACCGCCCGTATTCCCCTCACCCTTAGAAAATCATTGCAAACATTTTGGAAGTCATTTATTTTACATATGTGCCCATACAGAGAGAGATAATTTTGTAAGAATGGGATCGTAGCATACATACCAGTGTTTGACCACATATTTATTGGCAAATCTATACACACACACACACAGGAGTTTTCCAGGCATTTCTGTTTTGCAGAAACGGGGTCATATCCCTTATGCATTTCTGCCTCCTCCTTCCTCTCACCCTGCAATGCATGAATTTCCCTGGAGCAGGGGGTTGCAGAGAGCGAAGCCAGGCCATTGTGCGGGGCCAGAGAGTCGTGAGAGCTGAGCAGGGCGGCGGGCCAGGTGTCCCGTGCGCAGGTTAACAGGATTCATCACATCCGAACGGGAGGGGACCTCGGCTGCCGGCCTCTGTGTCCATGCACATTCGAGACACGAAGGAGCTGTGCCTTGCCCAGCCATAGCCCCGGGGACAAGGGCAGGAAGAAGAACATGCGGCACAGAGAGGCACTTGCAAAGCCCCAGCAGCCCCCGAGGGGAATCTAATCCACACGCGTCCACGTTTTAAGGCCTTCGGGATAGAGCTGCGTCTGGCCGTGGCCGACACGGCGCAGACGACCGGGCGGTGGTTTTCCTACCTGTGGTGTCTTCGATTCCACAATATCTAGTCAGCGTTTTCCATAAAACCCATGGTAGTTCATTCAACAGAGGGGTGCTGGCTGTTCTCTGGCTACCATTCCGGTATTGGGGTGCTGCAAAAATTTTAATCCGGTGTGGTCCGGGCCGTCGCGGGACCCCCCATTCTGGTGTCCGAGGGAGGCAGATATAACACATGCATGAGACTATTGCCAGGGTGATTAGGGCAGTGAAGGGTGCATAGAGGGTGCTGCGCCAGCCAGAGGGTGGCTTGGGGTGGTTGTTACTCTGCACGGGGTGGTCTCCAAGGAGGGGACATTCGAGCCAGTTAACAGGGGAAGTAACGAGGAAGAATTAGCGCCTTCCCTGGACTGCACCCCCAGTTTGCACAGTGCTCTGTGCACACCCTGTCCTCATGAGACCGGAGCAGAGTACTCCAGCCTGAGCGCCCCAGTCCCGCCTGCGCCGTCTACCATCTCTAGGAGCTCCCGCGGCCACGGGCCGCCAGGGGCCGCCCAGGACGGGGCCGGGATGCTGAGACTTCAAGCATCATTAGAGAAAGTTCATCTATGGAGTCCCCAGCGCAGCCCGCCTGACCTCCGGGGCACGATTCCAGCTCATGGATCCCAGCGCAGAGCTAAAAATAACGCACTCGGGCAGCGCGCGGGCCTGGCTTTTCCTCGGTGACCGGCGGCGGCGCCTGCCTTAGCTCCGGTGCGTGGGGAGCAGCCGTGCTCAGCCAACAGCCCCGTCGTTCCCTGAGCTCGGGCTCCCGTCAGCACTAAACTTTCTAGGCATCAAGAAAGCCGTTGACTTCACAGGCTCCCAGCCCTTAAGAGAGAGGAGTTAGTTCTTTGGTAAGAGCCTGACGTGCAGGATGTCTTACTCCTCTGAGGCGACATCCTTCCCCCGGTAGGAAGGTGGGCAGAGGTTCTCGTTTGTGCTTGTCACGCTTGAGGGGCCTTGGAAGAAATGCTGGAAAGTCTTTGTTCTCAAGAGCCGTTTGTAGCCAGGCATGGTGGCCATGCCTGTAGTCCCAGCTACTCGGGAGGCTGAGGAAGGAGGATTGCTCGAGCCCAGGAGTTGGAGGTTGCTGTGAGCGAGGCTGACACCACGGCACTCACTCTAGCCTGGATGACAAAGCGAGACTCTGTCTCAAAAGAAAAGAAGAGCCGTTTGGTTCTCAGATGAAAGGAAATTAAAGAGAACAAATTCCTGGAATCCAGGAGTCCTGGGCTCCAGGTGAGGCTGGTGACGTTGCCCAGCCACGCCCCCTTTCGGGACCCGGGAC